ACAGATCTTCCAAGCAAAGAATCAACAAGGAAACAATAAACTTAAAAAACACAAGGATCAACGGACTTAACAGATATTTTCAGAGCATTTTACCCCAAAGCAGCAAAATATATATTCTCAAATGCACATGGAACATTTTCAAGGACAGACCACATGTTAGGATACAAATCAAGTCTCAATAAATTTAAGAAAACAAATCATATCAACTGTCTTCTCTGATCACAACAGTATGAAACTAGGTAACAACTAAAAGAAAAATTAAAAAACACACAAACACATGGAGGCTAAATAACATGTTACTAAACAACGAATAGATTATTAATGAGATGGAGGAAAAAATCAAAACATACATACAGACAAATGAAAATGAAAACAGTCAAAATTTATGAGACACAGCAAAAGTAGTCCTAAGAGAGAAATTCATAGCAATATAGGCCTACCTCAAGAAACAAGAAAAAGCTTAAATAAACGATCTAACCTTACAATCAAAGGAACTAGAAAAAGAACAGCAAACAAAGCCCAAAGTGAATAGAAGGAAGGAAATAATAAAGATCAGAGAGGAAATAAATGAAATAGGGTCTAGAAAAACAAAACAAAGGATTAATGAAACCAAGAGCTGGTTCTTTGATAAGATAAACAAAATTGACAGATCCTTAGCCAGACTCATCATGGAAAAAAGAGGACTCAAATAAATAATATCAGAAATGAAAGAGGAGAAATAACCACAGACTCCACAGCAATACAATGGGTCATAAGAAAATACTACAAACAATTACACACCAACAAATAGTACGATCTGGAAAAATGGACACATTCTTAGAAATATGCAATCTCCCAAGACTGAGTCAAGAAGAAACAGAAAATCTGAACCAACAGATTACCACAAATGAAAAAGAATCAGTAATCCAAAACCTCCTAAAAAACAAAAGTCCTGGACCGGATGGCTTCATAGGCGAATTTTTACCAAACATTCAAAGAATTATCACCTATTCTTTTCAAACTATTCTAAAATATTCAAGAAGAACGAAGGCTCCCTAACTCCTTTTATGAGGCCACCATTACCTTGATTCCAAAACCAGACAAAGACATTACAAAAAAAGAAAACTACAGGCAAGTATCTCTCATGAACATTGAAGCAAAAATCCTTAATAAAATTAGCAATCTGAATTCAAGAACACATTAAAAATATCATATACCATGATCAAGTTGGATTTATGCCTGGGGTGCAGGTTGGTACAATATCCACAAATCAATTAATGTGATGATATACCACATTAACAAGTCAAAATAAAAACCATACAATCATGTCAATAGATGCAGAAAAAGCATTTGACAGAATCCAGCATCCATTTATCACAAAAACTCTCAGCAAAGTGGGAACAGAGTGAACATACCTCAACATAATAAAGGTCTCACAGGACAAACCTACAGCTAACAACATACTCAATTAGGAAAGGCTAAAAGCAGTTTCCTTAAGACCAGGAACAAGGCAAGGATGCTCACCTTCACCACGCCTCTTTGACACTGTATTGGAAGTCTTAGCCACAAAAAGAAAGAGAACAAAAAGGCATCCGAATTGCAAAGAAGTAAAACTCTCATTATTTGCCAATTACATGATGGTATATAGAGAAAACCCTAAAAATTCCACAAAAAAACTGTAAGAGCTGATCAATGAATTCACTAAAGTAGCAGGTTGCAAAATAAATATTCAGAAGTCAGTGGCATTTTAATACACCAATGATGAATTTTCCGAGAGAAATTAAGAAAACAATCCAAGTAACAATTGCACTGAAAATTATAAAATACCTGGGAATCACATTAACCAAGAAGGCAGAAGACCTGTTTTCAGAAAATTATAAGCCATTGAAAAAAGAAAGTGAAGAAGATACAAATAATGGAAGCATATAATGTGTTCACTGGTACAAAGAAATCAACATCGTAAAAATGGGCATACTACCCAAAACAATCTATAGATTCAGCACAATCCCTATCAAAATACCAATGGCATTTTTCAGAGGCTAAATCAAATAATCCTAAAATTTATATGAAGCCATAAAACCCAAATAGCCACAGCAATCTTGAGAAAAAAGAAAAAAGTAGCAGCTATGAATATCTGATATCAAAGTATATTACAAGGCTACCGTAATCAAAACAGCATGGTATTGGCATAAAAAAAGATACATTGATCAATGGAACAGAACAGAGAGCCCAGAAATAAATCCACGTCTATATGGTCACTTAATATATGTCAAAGGAGGTAAGAATATACAGTGGTATGAAAGACAGTCAGTTTCTTCAATTAATGGTGTGGGAAAACTGGACAGGTATATTAGACTATCTTCTTATACTGTATACAAGAAGAGACTCAAAATGGATTAGAGAGTTAAATATAAGACCTGTAACCATAAACTTCTAGAAGAAAACATAAGCAGTAAACTCTTTCATACTGCTAACAGTAATTTCTTTTTGGATATATCTTCTTGGGCAACGAAAACAAACAAACAAACAAAAAAATGGGACTATATCAAACTAAAAAGTTTTTGTACAGCAAAGGAAACCAACAAAACTACTGACAATAAGATATTCATTTATGATACAACTGATAAGAGGTTAATATCCAAAATTATAAAGAACTCAGCAACAAAACAAAAATAACAACAAATCCAATTTAAAAAATGAGCAGAAGACTTGAACAGATACTTGTCCAAAGAGGAATTAGAGATGGCTAATCGACATATGAAAGCATGCTCAAGGTCACTAATCATCAGAAAAATGCAAATTAAAACCAAAATGAGAAATCACATCACAACTGTCAGAATGGCTATCATCAATAAATCAAAAAACAACAAGTGTTGGTGAGAATGCAGAAAAAAGGGAACCCTCATATATTGTTGGTGGGACTGCAAATTGGTACAGCATCTATGGAAAACAGTATGGAGGTTTCTCAAAAAGTTAAAAGTGGATATACTTTTTGACCTACGAATTACACTTCTGGGTATTTATCCAAAGAAAACCAACAAAACAGTAATTCAAAAAGATCTATGCACTCCAATATTCATGGCAGCACAATTTACAATGGCCAAAATGTGGAAGGAACCCAAATGCCCATCAACAGACGATTGGATAAAGAAATTATGGTTCATATATACAATGGAATATTACTCAGCCATTAAAAAAATGACATCCTACAACATGGATGAACCTAGAGGTTATTATGTTGAGTGAAATAAGTCATACAAAGATAAATACCATATGATTTCACTTATATGCAGAATCTAGGGAACAAAAAAGAACACACTAATCATAAATGGACTTATAAATATAGTGGACAATTTGGTGACAGAGGGAAGAGGGTTGGGGGCTGGGAGAATGGGGTGAAGGGTTAAAATAGTACAAATTAGTAGTTAATAGTTGGTCACAGGGATGGGGAGCTTGGCAGAGGGAATGCAGTTAGCATTAATATTATGGCTAGGTGGAGGGCCAGGGGAAGGAGAGAGCAATTGGGGGGATCGTTTTATGAACTATATAGATATCTAACCAATGTACTGTATACTTGAAACTAATTTAAATAAACTAAAAGTAATAGTAATAAAAGAATAGAGATGAATCTTGACTGAAGTCAATTAGGTAACAGAAATATGTCAATATTAATTTTCTGGTTTAGATATTTAAATTGTTATATTGGAGAATGTCTGTTTGAAGAAAATACATATTACCATTTTGAGAGATGAGAGGACATCAAACACATTATTCTCATTTGGCTGAAAGAAGAAATGTTCTTTGTACTGTACTTCCTACTTTTCTGTAATTTTTTGAGTATTTCAGTAACAAAAATACAAATATGGTTTTGCAGAACATGAGGTTTAGGGGAACAAAACAAATAATAGCGGAAACACTGTAAAATTTATAAAGTAAAAACAACTACATGGATAGAACAGAAAAAGATCATAAAAATGTAACAATAACAAAGGCAAAAAAGTCAGTGAAATAATTATACCTATAAAATTGTCTAAAAAAATGAAAAGAGAACAAGGCAAAATGGCAAGAGGGATAAAGAAAATCCATTTGCAAATTCTAAATCATAACACATTTCCAAAAGCACAAAGAGAAAAAAATGAAGAAAGAAAAAAACAAATCTTTTACTCATGAAGCAATTAACTAATTTTGACTGACAAGGTATACTGAGTATCTAATACCAAAGAAAACACAAACAAAATATCTACACAAATGTATTTAAGAGTTAAGAACTTGAGAGTTAAAAAAAAAAGCTCCCAGAAAGAAAGAGAGTAAACATACAAATGACTTCAATATTCCCACCAGCCAGTAATTATAATGGAATAAATTTTCAACTTTCAATTTTTTTCAAATAAAAAAAACCAAAACACAGGATTCTCTACTGCAAGTGAGTGTTTCGCTGCGTTCACATCTGTAGTCTCAAAGGAAAAAATAAAAGCCTGCTTCTTATATCCATTTTAGAACATGCTTCAGCAAAATGAGGGCTGATTCAAGAATTCTCGAGACAATGGAGTACAACACATTCTACCATATGAAACTTGTATAAATAAGTTCAAGAACAATAATTGGATTAAAGAGAACACCAGACAGGTGCAGAAGAAAATACCTGAGAAAATATAACACACATGACCATGTGGAAAACTGTTTTAAGAAATTACTGGAAATGTGGAAAATTTATTAATTTCTTAGAAAACTAAGCAAATGAAAGGGGGAAATTTAAAAATCTAGTATATACATGCATGGGTAATGTATGATACTGTAATATATTCATATCGCTTTTTAAAAATGTTAACATGTTATTTAGTACAGTATTTCCATAATATTTATGTAGTCTTAAAAATGTAATAGATTTAACTAAAAATTGTGAGATGATCAGAAAAGGATGTCAGTATATAAGAATAAGTTTTCGCTAAAGAACCTAAGTCTGTATATAATACGTAAAAAATGTCAGGTGATATTTAAAGAAAGCTAGGCAATATTCTTACCTGGTGGCATAAGTTTCATGAGTACTCTTGCTCCATCTCTAAGAGGTGGCATATTCAGATTGCTACCTAAGTCTGCAACTTGCCAAAGGAAAGAGATGTATCTAGGATGCAGTGACATTATCTGAAATATAGAATACAAAAACATTTACCTATGAATTATGTCAAAAACACTTTTTATTCAAATTAACCTACTCATTCTTCCTAAAGAACTTTTCTACTTGTCAATTAGAACATTTACAGATGCCATTTTTTTTTTACCTGAAATAATCTGCTAACGCTATCTTTTCACCTTTACAAATCCACTGATTCTTCATGATGCAAACTTAATTAGGTTTTAACTTTCCTAAAGTAATTTGAGTAATTTTGTTGAAAGGCATCCTGCTGTTTTGTAAACTATGGAACTCAGATGCTGTTTATTACAAAAGGCACTTCACTCCAAAAGGTAACGGTAGCTGTTAAATTTCTAATTCAATAGTTGCAGGGACCTAAATCCCTCTGATAATATGTAATAATATTTTTCTAGAGGTATATATATTTAATAATACTATAATTTGTTACTAGATTAATTCTATGCAAACATAATACTATACTTTGGAAATTTTTATTTTAAATTCCAACAAATGTGACTACATCCAAAAATTAATAGTTAACTGTATATTTATTTTACATTTTCCCAAGTCATGAAATGAATAAATTCCTCAGAAAAAAACCATTTTACACATTTTTTTGTATTCCCAAAGAAGAGTGTAATATCTTCTGTGTAGCAGCTACTTACCACTCCAGGCAAACAACATTCTACTTCTGGATTGGGACCATGACTATAGTGGTTACAATGGTTTCCAGGAGATCCAGCTGAAGAATCAGAAGAACTATCAGGGCTTGAAGGCATATTGGAACTTACTTGTGTAAGTTTGGCTGTAATTACCTGCAGGTGAAAGTATTTATTAGTAGCAAAGACAAGGGAAAATATTTGCAAACAGAACAGCAACTAGACATAACAAAAGGCTAAAAAATGTGTTGTGTTTTAACTTTTCAAATAATCTTTAAAAGTACTATTTAACATAACCACTGGGTAGTTTATTTCCTACACTGTGTCAAGGTATCTGTCTTATTCAGGGCTATAACCCAAACATCTAACACAGAAGACTGAACGAAACAGATACTCAGTAAGCACTGAATAAATAAAAATAACCTCCATCTTTAATATTTGGGGGACTATTTGAAAATTACATGTACTTACTGATTTATCTTTTAAGTTTAATTGTCCAATTAGCTTTCTATCATCTTCAGAGTCTATAAGCTCACCACCCACAAACAGTTCAATTTTTGTGTGGGCTACATTTGCTTTTATACGACTGATAATACATCGTCGTACTGAACCAACGGTATCATTTGTATGAGACCATATATCCAAGTCATCAACCTGTCTACCATGGTTTGGAAATCGAACTATAAGAGAGAGGTGTTTACCACGAAATGCTCTGAAAAAAAAATTAAAAACAAGAAAAAAATACACAATGAAATTTAGCAGATTGTCAAGAACATAAAGCAGAGAATTTAATATTTTTTCTATTAAGAAGGATATAATTCAACTTATTTTGTTTTTAGGCTACTGAAAATAATTTTTTAAACTATAAACACCATAATTAATCTTGGAAACACACAAAATTATATTCCATTGCTGTTCATCTTGTCTCCAGGACAGGAGAACAAAAGACTTGCATTTATGATAATTTATAACAGATGAGTAACACGTGTTAATTTTAAGCTACAAACTCTCAATTCACTAAGGTTGTTTTTAAACGTGGAAGAGATGAGCTCCAGCTTGAAAGTATCATATCAACAAATACGTTAAAATTGCTGTTTCTACTAAAAATTTGTAAAAATTCTTAAAAACAGAATTCAAAAATATTTATCTTGGTATAGTCTCCTATGTAAGATGTAAAATAAAAATCATATTTAACATGCAATTTTATTTTACATACCTGTGGTATATTCTATAAACTTTCCCCAAACTAGAAATGTCATTTAACAATTATAAAATAATTATTTACTTAATTTATGATGATTTATATCACATAATATAGAATCATATAATTATGATTATACTAAAGTATGATTTAGCAAATTATTTACCTTATAAGTTTCTGAATTTAAAGATATTTTAAGCAAGGACCATTTAAAAATATTCTTTCATGTATGCTACATAAGCAGCTTTTAAGAACTTTAAGAATTTTATTTTTAACAATGTGAAAGAATTACATCAAAATAAAAACATGCCAACTACAGAATACCAGTGCTACACTTAATGGGTGATAACTGCTTGTAGCAATAAAAGAAAAAAGAGAAACTTAATGAGAATGCCTCTCCAAAATACACTTCAAAACTTTGTTAAAAAATTATTTGTAAGGAGTATTTTTTTAAAAGATAGTATACTGAAATGCAGAAGTAAAACTTTATTTACTGTCCTTTTAACCTTTACCTTAGGAAAGTAATAATAATATTACTTTCCTAATTAACTGGCTAAAAAAATAAAAAACTGCAAATGGATACTTTTAGGACAATTTCTTACAAACCTTGACATAGGTAGAATTGTTCTTTCCTCATGATAATCACTGTCACATTCATTTATGTACTCCCTTAAAACAGTTAATACTCGAACCATTCGAATAGCTTCCTGTCTTGCACAATTAACACTGTCTTTGTCACCATCCAAAACACACAATGTATCATATGAGACTTTCAAACGATCAAAGCAAGACTGAATGAAGTCTTCATGAATAACCACCTATAAGAAGCCAAATACAGCTCAAGTTGTTTTGAAATATAAAATTTAAATACAATATTAATCCAATTAGACAGTAAAACTGCAACTTAAAGGTAACTTGTAATCACATTATATTTAACCAGTAATAAAACACAAAATCTAATATTAAGAAAATAAGCAAGTGTAAGTAATTTATTTTTTTAAACCACCTTCTGGACTGAGTGTCATAGTAAGTCAAATTCTTGGTTATCCCAACATAAAAAAAGTAATTATATTCAAAATAATCCTAACAGACTAAAGATAACTATTAAGGCAATGTTCATTGAGTCAGCATTTTGTAAGGAACAAATGTGGATTAAATACTTAAGTATTATCTGACAAGAGTTAAATTTCTAGTTCTTCAATTAATCTTAAGTTTAAAATGATTCACTTAAAGATTACTTTCAACATAATTATTATAAAGTTTTCATGTAGTTTGATCCTTACCTGATTAACCTGCAACCTGGGGCCAAGGTTTGTGTATATTTCTTTAAGGAGATCTATAGCTCTATTGGCAATGTCATCATTACTTTGAATCACCACCTAGACCCAAAAATTATAGCGTAAGTAATATTCAAGATATATTTTAATTTGGCACTTAAATTCATATGTTGATTATTTTTTAATACAGAAAAAGCAATACTATCAACTTCAGTAATTTCTGCACATCCTTATCAATTACCTAAGTAAATCAGAGATTTTCAAAATATGTTTAGAATCCTAGAGCTTTAAAAGTTTTTCAGGGCTGACACTGTAAGAGGTTTGGGGAGGGAAAATAAAAGGAATAAGGAGAGATTGAGCAGAGAAAAGAACAACTTTCATTTCTTACATTAACTAGCATTATACACTTTTTTACTTACAGGAGTTACTGCTGTTTAAAAATATCTGAAAACACTAATTCTAATAAAAGACCACGTCAAACATTTTAGCCTACCTGTGGTATGCAAAGAAAACAATTCCACATCTAAAATACAATATAAGCTGAAACAATATATAATAGATTAGATTTCTAAAAGATTTACCTTTCAAAATAGAAACGTTAGCCTTGAAAAGAATAGCATTTTAATCTCCAAGTACTTAAATATATCAGAAACTAAAGTGTCAATACAGACATAAAATTCACTCCTCTTCCATTATTCATTTTGGCTTTAAATTTACAATAAACTGCAAGATCTAATAACGTAAGTATGGAAGACAATAACATATAGGTAGACAATGGTTAGCGCACTTAGAATTTTTTAAGAAGCATTGGAAAACTGGTGGCAGATGGTGAAAAAGCAAATAAAGAAAAAAACAGAGCTACTGGCAAACAGAAGTTATATAACAAGAAGCTAGAGATGAGCAATTATTCCTTCCAGATTCCCAAGATAAACATCAGGGCAGGATCAATACATACAGGCAAAACTATGACTCCTTAATGGTTGTTTTTTTTTTAAACCCACCCCAGATACAATGTTTGTAAACAAGAGTTTCCACTTCTCACTCACCTTCCAAAGGTAGTCTAATCCTATCAGTTCCAAATCATCCATCATATAGGATCTTCTTTTTGCTACTAGTTTCCCTTCTCGACAATTAACAGCTTTGAAGAATCGTTCAAAACATTTCATTCCATTTTCAGTTAACAGAGAAGGATCAAGTTGAAGCACATTACTTTCAAAAAAGTCCTTATTAATGTCAGGATCTAAGTCTGGTTCATCCCCCATTAACTTGGAATACCATTTAAAACAGGCTTCACGATCACAGAGGTAAACTGCATTCTCTGCTAAGCATTTCCATATTTGTTTTGCTTGAGGAGCACAGAGCCACAACTGGCCATCCTTCAGTAAAAATCTTGGAAAATTTTAAGAAACAAGTAATTAGATCTTTATTATTTTATCCTCACACAATTCACTTTGAAATGCCTGAAATAATACATTTATCAGTTACATTTTAATTATAGGTGAAAAAGGTATTCTTATAAAAGCTGGTAGTAAATAAATACCATGTATTAATTCATTTAACAAGCATATTTATGGGGCAACTGTAAAATTTCAAGAAATTCTGTTAGATGACTCGACCTATATATTAAAGTTTTTTCCTCTCTCTCAAGAAGTTCAACCTCTGAAACCAGAAAGTGATTTAGCTACCTGCTTATGTATGATTTCACTAGAAAATGAGGTGTAACACTTAGTGACTTTCAGATAACTAAATGTTGTTAGGAAATAAAGCTTCTTCACATTAAAAATGTCAAGGCAGTTAAAAAATTAAAGAACACTACATCATTTCAATCTGAGAAAAATTCTAGTCATCAAATTTTATTTGAAGTTGATCTAAAATAATCAGATCAACAGAGATTATAAAATTCTTAAACATAACTACGTAATGAATTAGAAAATAAACTATGTCAATGTAAATGTTTCTCTATAAATTATTACACAGTTCAACAGAAATAGTATCCAACATAAACTAAAAAGAAAATCTCCAAAAATATATATGAAAGTAATAAATGCAATAGATTTTATGAAAAGCTGATAGTTTTGGCATTTATCATATGTGCTTTATTCACTTTGATTTATTTACATTTCTAAGAAATATCTCACAATTTAAGCTGTTATATATCCATAGACACATATGTCATTAAAAGCTAAAATTCAGCTTAAGACTATCTTTATCTTTTTCTTAAAAGATAGGCAATTTTTCCTTTTACTCATGGGAAATAATGTTCCTCCCTATACGACCTTTAAGTTGTCTTTATCAGGCATTGTTAGAATAAACAAAGAACCAAAACACACAACCACCTGCTCCATTCTGCCCATGATAATAGCATTTAATGAAAATTGTTCCCTAGCTGATTGTTTTTGTGCCCTATAGTTCAAAGTTCGAAAATGTACAAAGAATAAAATTTTATTTCTAACATAAACTCTATTTGAAGATGTATTTTCTTGGGGAAAAAAAAAAAAGGGTTAGCCAGTAATTAAAAAGTATTTTAAAATCAAGACAGAGAAAACATGACATTAACTCTTGAAAATGGTTCTTATGTGGGAAAGTATTCAGCTGCTGAGTGGCATGGCCAACTATAAGACAGTGACAAAGAATGTTAACACTGCATTCCTATGAGTACCTTAAAAAGATTAGCACCAATTGTTTAAAACCAACCTAAGGAAGTTAAGCCGTTCTTGGACTTCTTGAACATGACTATACCTACTTCCAAGTCTCACCGTTTGTGGGTCATAGTCCTCATGGTCTGCAAATCAACAAAAATGATGCATTATGCACATGTATATCTACATCACTGCTGACTTTAACCAAAGGAAATTAAGAAGTCAATAATCACTTATCATTAATATGCAACCTGTATAAAAGTTACTGACATATATCTAATTCACAAAAAATATACTTTTTATACAAAGGAATATATAATCTGCTGAATATGCCATCAAAAATAATTTTCAGCATCACCTGTCCCTTTCATTCTTCACATATACTGAATTAATTTCTGAGTACAGTCTATAATTTCCCCTTTATTTGTCCTTATGTTATACTAAAACTTGTCATTTAATAAAAAAGTATTTTAGCTTATAAAAATCTAGAGAGCATTCATAGAAAAATTAGGGTGACAGAAGCTATTATATTTGATAAAATTGTCATACATTACCAGACTATGAATGTGTCAGATATTTAAAATAACCTACCCTCCCATTATGATTGCAAATACATATGTTGGTTACTAGGCCTAGCGTAGGCTGGAAATCCTTTATTAAATTACAAAATTAGTAAGTACTTTGGACTTACTTTATTAGATTTATATGCTGGTTGAAAAGTTCTGTTTGTCAATTTAAAAGCAAAGAAAAAAATTAAAAATATTTACTATCCTAAAAATACTATGTATAGTGTTTTGTATATAATGATTTGCATGTAATGATTCATTCAAAAAGGTAAAACTCAACTGAAATATGGGTTTACAATGTAAAAAAACATGTCTTAAAAAAGGTTGTTCATTCAGTATCAAGCTAAATAAGTCACAAAAATGTTTTTAAATGAGATACAGCCCTCTGCCTGGAAATGACTGAATTGACTGGTGGGTGGAACAGAACACAGTGAAAATAAATACCTCCAACATAAGCTGTCAGTCACTCAAAAATCAAACACTTTCATTTCAAAATTTTGAAGTTTTAATTTGGAAATTATGTAATGCCTCTTTAATAATAAACAGTAATATTTCTCAGCTATAGACCTCTGAGAACTTGTATAATGATGCCAAAGAATTCTAACTGTAAGAGCTCCTTCTGATATTGGTAAAAGCAACCCAACTCTTCAAAATGGCAAGATTTTTAATACCAGAGAAACTTCAATTAAAAGTAAAATCTTAGCTTGCTATTTAAATGGAACATGTATCCAGGTGTGGATATGATTAAAAAAATAAGGAGCCTACATATTATTGACTGTTCTGTACTTCCATATGCTGAGCATTTGCCAGCAGTTTTAAATCTTATTGCTTATATGCTTGAAAGTCATCAACTGCACCAAAACTCAAGCCTTTAAAATTGTAGAAATTATCTGCTACTACAAACAAGTTTTCTGGCTTTTCAGAGCACTTACCTTAAGGCATCTGAGTAAACTTTGGACTGCCACTTTAACTATTTCTTAATATTAAAGCCTTTTACCTAAAACCTTTTGTGTGTATGCTTACTGGCAAAAAAATTTTCCCCCGTAGGTGTTGGGAGGAGCACAGTGCAACTCTAACTTTTGATAAAATTTCAAACTTATAAATGAAATGTAGTAATAATACAAGGAACTATTCTTTATCCAAATAAATCAACTGTTTACATTTTGCTCATGTTTTATCAATATCTCATCATACAAATTTGTATTACTATTGTGAACCACTTGAAGATAAAATATATGCCACTTTACTCCTTAAAACCAGATTTCCTAATAAGAACATATCCACAGCACACTTATCTGAATTTAAGATTAATAAAAGACTATTATGTGATCCATCATAATTTATATTCAAATCTCATTAACTGTCCCATTAATATCATTTATGCTTTCCTTTTTCCTAGGCTAGAATCAAATCTAGGCTCACACACCGCATGTAGCTGTTTTCTTTAACCTGGAATGTCCTTATTTCTTTGTTATTTATCTTGAACATTTTAATGAGTAATTAAATGCAACTCAAGTTTGCTTCACGTTTCCTCTAGTTAAATTCAGGTTGTGAATTTTTTGCAAAAAATATCACAAATCTAATCTATATAGTTCTCACATTGGTATCAGAAGTGATGATGTCAGCTTGTCTCAATATTAATAACGTTAATTTAGATCACTTAGTTAAGGTGTTTCCACCAAGTTTTTCCACTGAAAAGTTATTCTGATACCAAATCAGTATTCTGGTGCTCATAATTTCTCTCTCACACTAATTTAATAATCTATTATTTTTCCTCCTACATTTTCAGTTAACATTCTTCTTCCATCTATTCTTCTCCAAGTATTTATATGATGAAAAGGTTATGATCCATGGTATAATAGTTTTGATGCTCAAACTCACAAACTTAGCAAGTGAGAGCCGAATCTTATGTATTTGCTACATGCCGATATAATTCTCCGAAAACTCTTTCTAATATAAAAATGTTCAAGTTTCATTTTGTACTTTCCTGCTGTAGGTCAGTTATTTCTCCAAAGACCCATCTGCTTAGCAAAATTAGTAATACCAGGCAAAAATAATTTTTAAAGTACAAGGACTCACAAATATTTAGCAGTACTTCATGGCTCACATGTGGAAATTAGGCAGAGCAAGTAAGTGAACCGAACTCAGGATGTGCATTCTCTTAACAATGCACAATTACTGAATGACACTTGTAAGAGACCTGTGTTTTTTTTAGCAAATGGTTCTGCAAACAGTCAGACAGATGCCGTAACAACAGCAGTGAATGGTAGGTTACTACCTACCATGCAAACTGGCAATCCTTAAAAAACCCACAGGTTTAAGTGAATTGCAATGTGTACTATAAATAGTATAAGTCCTATAAACTTTGTCCAGATATCAAAGAAAAGAACACATAAAAACTCAAGTATAAATCAGTATAAAGGGTCTCTACCTAAGTGTTTTATACTTTGAAATTTTTAAAACACTAGAAAGATTTAAAAATATAGGATTCAGAAGTACTGGTGCATAAATTCACTAAGAAGCAGTCAATAAAACTTTAACATGTATAAAAGTTGGAAAAAATTTTAGTAAGTTACTTTGTTATCTAAGATACTGGGAAAGCAGAGGTATAATTAGGTGACCATGCCACTGGGGAAATAATTTTTTCAACACCAAAGACTATAATATAGTCATGGCAAATGCCTAATACTAAGAAAATAAAACTGAGAAAACATCTGTGAACTGCAGGAACCTCACATTATCTTGTGACATATTTTCTCACATGCTTCAGGTGATCTGCTTCTTATAGAATGTTTATGTTGGTAATAGTTTTATAT